GGTTTCATTGTCGTACCGGACTCAGCCATGACGGAAGTCCAAAAGGCTGACATGAAACGAGTATCTCGGTCGCTCACTATGTCTTCCGGAACACCTTGGTTGGTAATCCAACCGGTGTGCAAGAGTCGTGCGAGCTCAGGCGCTGCAGCATGATACTTGCAAGGAAGGAAGCGAGCATACTTGCTCAAACGGTCAACGACCGTGAGAATACCGTCATAGCCGTGGCGATCGCGGGGAAACGGGCCTGTCACGTCCATAGCAATGGAGAGGCATGGTGCCCGAGGAATCGGCAACGGTTTCAGTTCGCCGAAGGGGACTCGAGATCGACCCTTGTTTCGGTGGCAAACTGCACATGACTCAATGTACCTCGTGACGTCATGAAGGATGTCGGGCCAGTGAAAACGCTGGCGGATGCGTGCTAGTGTGCGGTTCACGCCAAGGTGTGCCGAAAGTCGTGCGTTGTGGAATTCACCGAGAAGACGAGTCCGTAAGATGCGATCTTGGGGCACAACTAACAAGTCCTTTCCTCTCGTGTGAAGGAGAAGGAACCCGTCGGAAATCCGATAGTGGCTAGTCGGCGGGTGATCCGATGAAAGCTCCGCGTAAAGCTGAGAGTAAGTCGGATCGGACTTGTAGCCTTTGACGAAATGCGGCTGCAGATCGTCATCGAGGTCGAATGTCGTGGTCACAATGGCACAAAAGTCGGGCCGTCGTGAGAGGGCGTCTGCAGCTCGATTGGCGGGACCGGGAATGTGGCACGCGTCAAAATCGAACTGGTCGATGTAATACATCCATCGACCAATCGTGCTAGTGACCATGTCTTGCGTTTTATAAAAGGTCAACGRATTGTTGTCCGTATTCCATTTGAAACGCCGAAGGCCGAGAAGAAAGTGGCGCCACCTTTTGAGAACGGTCACGAACGCGAGTAGCTCTTTCTTCCTAGCGTCGTCGAGAGTGTTGACGAGAGGCACCTTTTGGGAGAAATACTCAACCGGATGCCAACCGTCCTCGTGACACTGTTCCAACACCGCACCAATACCGTATCCCGAAGCGWCCGTAGTCACTTGGGTGGGTAGGGTGGGGTCGTATATACGGAGGGCAGGTGCGGCTTGCATCGCTGCCTTCAACGTAGTGAACGCGCCATGGGCTGCATCGTCGAACTCGAAGGGCACCTTCGGGGACTGAAGTCTCGACAAAGGAGCGGCCACTTTCGAGTATGACTCGACGAATCGCTGATAATATCCAACCAAACCCATGAAAGAGCGTACATCCGTCGTGCAACGGGGTTCCGGCCAATCCACGATGGCTTGGATCTTGTCCGCTAAGGGACGAATGCCTTTCGGCGTGACAAAATGACCCAAGTACTCAAGCTCTTGCTTGGCGAGTTCGCACTTGTCGAGATTCACTTTGTACTTGGCTAGTCGCAAACGATTCAGAACAACGCGAAGGTGTACGATGTGCTCGTCCAACGTCCTACTATGAACCAAGATGTCATCAAGGTAGATGAGGACGCTRCGATCGAGCAAGTCGCGAAACTCAGTCGTCATCGCTGCTTGAAAAGTTGCGGGGGCATTGGTGAGGCCAAAGGGCATGACAACCCACTCAAAATGCCCGTACAGCGTCTTGAACGCGGTCTTGTACCGGTCTTGGGGCTGGATTTCAATCTGGTGGTAACCTGACTTCAAGTCCAACTTCGAGAAGTACGTCGCGCCGCCTAACCGCTCMAGGAGATCATCAATCCGAGGGAGAGGGCCGGCGTTCTTTACGGTTTGTGCGTTAAGTTTCCGATAGTCGATGCATAACCGTAAATCTTTGTTCTTCTTCCGGACGAAGAGAACAGGTGCACCGTATGGCGAGCAACTAGGGMGAATCCAGCCCTTGTTGAGAAGATCATCGAGTTGTGCGCGAAGCACCTCGAGTTCCTCTTCGTTCATGCGGTAGATACATCCACGCGAAGGGACGGCGCCAACCTTGAGAGTGATCCCGTGACGTATGGGCCGATCCGGAACCGTTCCGGTGGGAGCCTCGAAGACGTCTCCATACTCGTCCAAGAGGTGAGAAATGCGTGGGTCCGGCGGTGACGCGGCTGGTCCGTCCGGCGAGGGGAGAGCATGCAAGAATACAAGGCCCATCTCCTCGACGTCATTCCGAGCAATGGCGTCGCGAATTCTCGCAATGGAAACCACGTGACAAGCAATCGAAGTGTGA